TGTGTGTGTAATGATGCTGAGGGATTGTTGGTGGATTATCGCTAATCGTATTTTTATTGAAAATATTTACCGTTTAAGCACAGAGATCTGTTAGCGAGATATATATATATATATATATTCTAGCATATATAGTTATATACATACTCCATTTCAAAGGAGTATCCGACCGATCTGATTCCGGAACGCTGAGTTTTTAAGGGTTAATATTCGGATTTTCCTTCAATATTCTCTAAAAACAATTATATAGTATCAGCGATAGAAAGTAGAAGACTTCACACTGATGTAGGCCCATTGAGAACTTACATTCTTGGGTATATATATTTTTGCTTTAGCAGCCGATCAACATTGGAAAAAGAAAAAAGAATAAAAAAAGAGAGAAGTCCTAACCATGAGATATCCATTACCAGATTCATGTGGACTGATCATAAAATACTACTGATGTGATATATATCACTACCTCAGATGCATTTATATGCATATAAGTAGTCAGTAGAATATGTCGGAGGAGTGCCCTCCATGGCAGAGAACCCTATGACTCTCTGTAGAAACACACACACGCATGCACCGTTACACGCCAGTAGCGGAAAGGGTTTCAGTTGCTTGCTAGCATATCACAGCATCCACACTCTATGTGTCTAAGCTCTTTTCTCCCTCTACTGCACCATTCCGTAGATGGTACTCGTGGTGCCGAACACGATACCGATGACGCCACAAATAAGTAGTGTGTACGTGGCGGCATACATCAAGATGCCTTTGGATTTCAGCGACCAGTTGTCTGCGTACATCACGAAGAGGGCCGGGAAGATGAAGCCGATAAAGCTGCCGCAGAGGGCACCAGCGAGACCGAAGACCATGCTGACGTTTGGCACGAAGAGGCCAAGAACGAACGACCCCGTCGCAAAGGAAGCCGCGACAATCGTGTGTTTCCAATACGGCATTGTGTCCACATCCCAGTTCATCACCTGGAAGAGCGCTGTGCGACACGCCATCATATTTTGCGAGAAGGATGCCACGAGCTTGAGGATTATGCCAACGAAGGAGATGAAGAAGATATAGTGCTTGTAGGGGCTGATATACAAGATGATGTTG